CAGGATACGGCTGGCTCATGCTGAGCTTCTGGTCAATCATCACGCCCCGGTCCTTCTCCTCAGGACTGCTCTCCAGCCATTCCCCACCCAGCCTGTATTTGTGCTTGGGATTGCCAAGAATGGTTTAAGTTGCATAGAATGGTTTGGGTTGGAAGGGACCTTAAAGATCATCTAATTCCAACCCCCCTGCCATAGGCAGGGACACTTCTCACTAGACCAAGTTTCTCAAAGCCCCATCCAGCCTGGCCTTGAACACCTCCAGAGATGGAGCTTCCACAACTTCTCTGGGAAACCTGTTCCAGTGCCTCACCACCCTCACAGTGAAAAATTTCTTCCTAACACCTAATTTAAATCTACCCTCTTCCTATCACTACATGCCCTTGTAAAAAGTCCCTCTCCCCTCATTTTTCTAATGCCCTTTGGTGACAACTCTCAAGCTTTGGGAAACACTGATTCTCTGCAACCAAGCTTTCACCTAGGAATGTGCTTGATTTAACTAAACTCCAGGAACACACTAAGTTTTCAGGGGAGTGTGTGGGGAAAACCAAGAGACCTGCACATCCCAGAAAGCCAACAACCTCGTAGTTAGTGTGCCAGTCCAAGTTACAAATGTAGAGAGGACTTGTTTAACAACTGAGCTGGAGTCAGTCCTACAGCAGTCTTACACCACCACATTTATTTTACAAATAGTGAAACAGCAGCATGAAGAAAGATTTAACAGAGAGAAACAAGGTCATACCTATAGCCCAGTGCCTAAAAATAAGGGACTGAATGGGTCGAACACCTGCTCCTTTTCTTTCTATGAAGCATAAAAACTTTAATACTAGACAGGAAGTCGCTTTCCACAGAATTTCAATCCTGAAATAGGATCAAGAACTTCAGCATAGGACTCTCAAACTCAAGCTGTTCTATGAATACCCACTTCAGCTTTTTATCAAATCAACTTCAATTAACTTAATTTACCTTAACTCCCTTCCCAAAGAACTGGAAAAAACATCCAAAGCCTCAAAAACATAATGGGAGAAAAAAAAAGTCCAGCCTGCTTCACACCAGTGATGAATATTTTGAAAATCCCTTCACTAGTATGTGTCAAATAACTTTTTCAAGATACTTAATTATTTATTGTAAGGCTCAAAGCCGAACTCAATGAGGCAATGAGATTAGGTATTATAAGGTGCTGAATTTCAATTCGCACAGATGTAAAATAACTTGCATTTTTCTTTCCACCAGCTCTGAGAAGTTACAGTATTTTCCTATTAATGTTCAAGGAAGAAGATGTTCAATTACAAAGAGTCTTACTTAAGAGCCTTATGTGAGATTCCCAGGTTAACACTTCCAGCACAAAGCAAAGGAAAAATATGTAGAGGACAGAAAGCCAATGGAATGGTAACCTTGCTTTATAAGTATACACTTAAGTACATACATAAAGTTGTGAGCAATTATGGCATAAGGATACAAAAGGGTAAAAAAAGGATTTTCAGTTAGATGCCTTATTCTCTTGGGGGCAGACCGAAAGGACTTTCAGAAGCTGTTTTTACTGAAAAAGAATCTCTGTATGACATGCCTAGTTTTGTAAATGTTTCCAAAGGCTGCTGGTCTAGAATATGGTCAGCCAGGATACAGCCTCTGGATAATTCAGACACATAAAATGCCTTCTGACCTCCCTAGTGTCTTTTTGGCCTTTTCCACTGATGAAAGAAACCAAACTTTATTTTATTTATTTCCACTCTTCAAGATGTACATTCTTAAACTGTGTAATTTTTTGACTGCAATTCTCATATACGCGTAGGTGGTATAAACTTGGAATCTTACACAACTTTACTTTTTCCTCACTTAAGAAATCAGAACCTAATTTAAAACTCCAGGTTCACAGAAACATCTGTTCATTTTTGAAGCTACCAGTATATGAAATATTTCAAACAATAGCAAAATAGACAAGAAAAACATCGTTTCTACAGGCTACGGTTTCAAGATTTCTTCTGATTTTTATCTCCTGATTGATAGGCAGACAAGCCAACAAGCATTCAGCATACCTGCTCCAACTTCTTTTTCTTCTTCTTCTATGTTGTTTTTGATACTGTCATACTCCTCATCGATTGCCTGGTTGCCACGCATTTGAGACAGAATTCTCCGTGCTCTCTGAGTCTGGCCTTTCTGAATGAGCCAGCGGGGACTTTCAGGAAGAAACAGGAATCCAAGAAACTGTATAACTGCCGGAACAGCTGACAGGCCCAGCATGTACCTGGAAATAAGCAAATATAAATAAATAAATAAATAAATGCCTATAAAAACATGCTATGAGAAGACTCAGTTACAGCTACTTAAGCTGTAATTTACAAATCAAACCCTCCTCCCCTCGTATTCTTTATCACCAGAAGTTAAGCAGGCAAGACTCGTGTTCTGCAAGTATTTTAGAAAACAGGACCCTCTCTTTCAATTCCAGGAAATCTTAAAGTTCTGTTGACTATTCTGCCATCACTCACGCTATAGCCACTGGTCCCAAGGACACCAAGTCAGACTAAATAAAAACCAGTAGTTTGGAAACTGACAGTCCCTTCAGTGAAGATAAAAGAATGAACACAAAGAGAAAGCAAAGGCACAGAGAACAAATGGGTACTGTTGATGGCAAAAATGAGACTGAAATCCTGCTGTTTTACAGACATAGAAAAAAAATAAACCAAAAACCAGCCAATGAAAAATGCTTAATTTGGTCAGTAATATGTACACAGACACGGGTGACCAAGGAATACACCTTTTGTGTAAGGAGATGTCTGTTTTACTTTTGAAAATTTCTGACTATTAGCAGAAACAATGAAAAAAGTTCATTTCACCAGCGCAGCAGTTTACACCAGATCTTTTAGAGAGTCTGCTCTTAAATCTTTAGCCAGCTGCAATGTTAGGCTTTAAATGGAAACAGCATTTTAGATGCCCAGGAAGGTGGGTGTTACTATATATAGCATTAAGGCTAGTTCTCTACTCAACAGTGAATTACACTGGCCAGAGAGTTATGCTTCCAGGGGTCAGCACTGAAACCTGTGACAACACTCCAGCTGAAGAGTGGGGAAAAGACTGTGGAAGACAAGCATACCACCAACCTTCATGGGCAGTTCTGGCCTATACACTTCACATTTTTATATTCCTTCAATAAAACACTAAGAAGAATAACGAGAAGTGCAACAGTGTATAACTTTGTTCTGCTTTTTAAATCTGACCTTTTTCCATTTGCACTTCACTGAGATTTTTTTCACTTCCATAAAAGACTCTAAATGGTGCTGGTGTCACCTGTACACTATAGCAGCTATCACAGGTTTCACATCAGTGGTTATAATCATTAAAACACCGCCAGAAACTAGACCTCAGACTGAATACTGAGGTAGTCTGTACTCATAAACAAATTCACACCTTGACATCAATCAGGAGATTAAGTAGATTTGCTAATCTCTCCTCCAGCTCCCCTCTTCATACACCAGGATACATGCTTTCACACAGACAATTCAGCAGTCTCTCACCTGGATGTTTTTATAAAGCATGCTATGAAATGAGATTGCTAATAGAGTAGGAAAGAGCACAACCATTAACGGAAACCTTGTTTCAGGGCAATGAACCATATGTATTTCTCAAGTCCAAATGCATTTTGGATGAAAATGGAAAAAGACTTTCTTAGAGGCATTTGTAGATTTAACAAAGAAAAACATGAGCAATACAACAGGGCAGAAGACTGGAGAATGGGGGAAAGAACACCAAAAAGGTAATGCAAAGAGGACAGCTATCCCAGGACAATGTGCATGCAGGCCAGTCTTCCCATCCCCAAGCCGTGCCCTCAAGTTCTTCCTTAAACCAGCAAAAATTTCCAAAGGTCATACCAGTAAATCTTGCCCTAGAAAGAAATCTGTAAGCAAGTATCTTATTTTCTAACTTTGACAATGGTATAGCTCATCATTAGTTAAAAAAAAAGAAAAGCAGAAGGAAGAAAATAAATTCAAAACACAAAGCTTGTGGAAGGATTATTAGTTGAGTCATGTTCAGCCAACATATCTACCAAGTGTCACTAATTTGCTATGTTCTCATTCCTCATTCACTAATGTTCTAATTTGTTAATGTCCTCATTTCTTCCTATGCTCTTCCCTCTCCATAAACATTTTGGTAGCTGTATACAGCATCACCTTTACACATACAGCACTGAAGCTCACCAAACTGTATATTCAATATCTGCATTAGGTCAGTATTTAGAAAGCCTTCCCTATTTCAAGTGAAGAGTAGACCAAAACCATAGGGATTAAAAACATCATCACTGTGTTCTGTCAAACTGCAAGCAAAAGAATCTTTTAATGCATCTAAACAAACAGTTTTAGTCCTTTATACTCATATTACCTGATTTCTGCTCCTTCAAAGCCCTTCAGTCCCTTAAATGCAGCAGAGCCTCCAGAACTAAGCAGCTGGGTACCTGCAGTCATTTTAGGAGGCAAAAATCAATTGAAGCTCCTGAAAGCTCAATCCAGCCTGTTAAAGCTACCAGTTGGATTCTATTGGATTGTTTATCACAGGCAAGATAAGAGAAATGTACAGAAAGTGCTCACTCACTAAAGTTAGTTTTGAATCATCATGTTTCTGGTCAAAGTTGAGCACAAGGAGCAGGTCAGAAGGAGAATGTTCAGTTAAGAGCATACATCCCTTGCGAGTTCGAGAGTTGTTGCAATTTTCAAATCAAGCAATTTTGATGTAAACAATTTAGAGAAAAGGCAGGCAATTTTAGACATTTCATGCAGTGAGCCAGCTTTCAGAAATCTAATATAGTTCTTTCCTATACAGAGTACAAGACTTGGCATTTGAAGCCAGATGTCTAGCAGACCTGAAAAAATCCAGCATGAAATTTAATGTCTGCTGTAACATTTCTCCTTCTCAGACATACTGCTGCAATACTATTAAGATGGCATTAGCTGGGTTTATAAAGCTAACCTGACATAAGAGTCAGTTTAAATATTTGTTCTCTTTGGTTTATTTTTAATTTAATATCCAGCATTTCCAAAAACAAGCAGAGACTAGGAAAAGTAAAGTTCCCTATTGTTTTTTGTAGCACTCCAATATTTAGCCATTCAGTCACTAAGAGCTACAATAATTGATATATTTCTCCTTCTTATATTTGATGACTCAAGGAGTGAACATCTGTGATTTCTCCCCATGCATTTCCTGACCACCCTTTCTAGGTGACAGACCATCTGCACTCTTCCCTGCTCAGTCTTAGGTTGCAAGAAACTAGCTGAGGACAGACAAGTGCACAATCCTCTATTAACAGCTCCAGCATCGCAGCTGAGAATCTTTGGATACCTCATCATCAGCATAGCCTCAGTTTCTCACCAATGCATCATCAATAGTTTCAGTTCACTTTGCTCTGCTCAATCCAGCACAACAGTACTTAGTGTGTATGTAAAACACAGCATTACTGCCTCAGCAAAAGTTATCCAGCATGAGCCAGCAGACTACAAGAAACAGTTTTTCATCACTACTCAACACACTGTGATGGATCTGGAAGATGGGGACCACTAACATGAGGGAAAGCTACAGACTGGGAATAGCAATGGATCCCTAAGATCGAGCCAGCAGGCTACAAGAAACAGTTTCTCATCACTACTCAACACACTGCGCTGGATCTGGAAGATGGGGACCACCAACATGAGGGAAAGCTACAAACTGGGAATAGCAATGGATCCCTAAGATGGTTGTGCAGTTGGAGTGTATGACATAAAAGAAAAGGCTGAGAGAAATGGGTTTGTGCTGCCTAGAAGAGATGATCAAGAGGACATCTAATTTCATCTTTCACAATGGAAAAGGAGCTCATAGAGAAGGTAGAGACAGATTCTTCTCAGAAGTGCACAAGGACAAGAGTCAATAGTCACAAGCAGCATGAAAGAAAATTCAGACCAAAGAGGAGGGAAAACAGTTCTTCACAGTGACAATGTCTGAACATCTGAACAAGTTGTCTTGAGAAGTGGAAATGTTCATCAATGGACATTTTCAAAACTCAGCATCTCGCACAGCTCTGATCAAACACCCAACCTCCCAGCCTTACCCAGTCCACAGGTTCTACATTTACTTTTAATTTTTTCAGTTCAGGTAGGTTAAAAGGCCTGAATTTACTAGAATAGTTTATTTTTTGTTCCAAAGAGAACAACAAGCTACACCAAGGTAGAAGTTCCCAGAACAGCTGTGCAGCATTTCAGTGGGTGGGGGCCTCATTCCTATTTGAGGTACAGTGGCATATTGAAACACCCGTGGTTTACTGAAAGACGAAATCTACATTTGACAATGACTATTACCTTCCACTTAATCTTCCACTTTACCTAAATATATTTACAAAGTGACATATCAAAAGATGGTAACTTCTGTGTGTGTTAACAAACTGGAATGATATTTTTTCCTTAAATTATCATTACATGCAACTGTACTTGTCAATGCTATGTCACTGCTTGATTTGAAAACTGATACATCCTATATCACACTGTTAGCTCTTTGACTGATCTTTCCAAAGTCTAGAAGTTTGCTTTTAAGCTGCAAAAATTCAAACTAGGGAATATCTTAGTTTACCTGAACAATTAAACAAAAAGTACAGCTCCAATAAGATCAATACTTGTCAGATGCTTTGCTAGCTTGTATTTTTCTTCCAATGCACTAGTATTTACTGAAACACATTACAAATACATCCTTAGCTCCTCTGTGCCAGCCCACTAATGGGAAAAAAACCACTTATATCCACAAAAGCTTCCCCCAGCTGAATCCTTAACCACTGAAGTAAACTGAACTCAAAAAATCTGCCTAAACAGAAAGTGCACAATGCCTCTAACAGTAGCAGTGACTCAGAGCTCCGTTTCTAAATAAATATCTTTACTTGTCCATTCCTCCCACCCAGCCCCATGCATAGGGAGCCATTATGTTAGCAAATTATTTAGGCTAAAAGTTAATTTAAAATAATAAAGCAACTACTGAATAATTGGCATCAGGGATCAAATACTTCAGTTTGTATTTTACCTAGAAATGCATTACTGCATGCCATTAACTTTTCTCAAAACTGCACGTATTTCTTTAACTCCAGAAAGGGATTAGCAATCCTATAAAACTAAGTTTTTCTTTCAGTGAAAGCAACTCCATAAGAGAACTCCATTCTCCATAAGTGGACATGCAGTCTGTCAGAGAATGCAGCTGCATCATAATGAAAAGGTCATCAAAAGCTTCATGTAAAAATGTAAAATGCTATTTTCATTTGAGCTAAAGTAACCAATGCATTTTCAGAAAGCACAAAGCAGAGCTAAATCTTAAAATTAAACAAGAATTAAACAAAATCAGCATGAAATGACTTTTTTCCTAAGGTCAAAATGAGACACCTTTTTATAAAAGAGGCAAAGGAAACAATCATACGGACAAAAAGTAAAAACTCAAACCTCTTGAGTCTTCAGACATACACAAATTAAACCATAGATTCATCAAGAAGAAAACATTAACTTTTTGTTTTAATGCATATTTCTTTACATACTATAAGAAGATCAGCTTCCAAGTTCTTCTATGTACCAAGTCCCAAATTAATTGTTCCTAACTTAAACTTCAAATATCAGTGCACCTAGAAATCCCTATTCAGCTCCATTAGAAGCCAGAGGACATAACAGTATTTATGTTGCAAGCTTTCAGGGGTTTGGGGGGGAGGATCCTTCAGACTAGGATTTTCAAACAGCAAAATGATTCCAGGCTGTAGCAACAGAAATCGAAGGCCCTACAACAACACGCGTCCCTTTCCCAAGAGTGTTTCAAGAGAAAATCACACATAATTAAGCACAAGTTTTCAGAACCTGGAATGTATAGTATAAGTTATTCCTTCTACGCATTTCTGTTAATTATTTTTTCAAGTCAGCGCTGCAAGTAAGACAATGAGCCACTGAAATTTCTCATCTCTCTCAAATATATAAAGATGGTAGGTGTAAGGCTGCAGTCCAGAACCACTTAGCGATGTCTACAGGAAGAACACAATATCCAGAAAGTACAGTAAAAGATATTCATATTATTCTATAAACTAAACTTTTAACTATAAAGTTATGCTGCGATATCCTTCACTTCAATTCCTATTGAATTACTACTGCTTAGATTAAGAATACTCAAAATACACCTGTATTTTGCGCATACAGCATCATATTTAGTGGAAATTTGCCTTTTGAAAAATCAGCATGTAATTATTCTAAATGCAAAAGGCAAGCTACTTTCATAAACATCATGACAATCATTCAAGCTTTCTGACGCATATTTATTGCTCATCCACTTTAAAGTTTAGTAAAGCAAAAAAAACTAAGCATACTGTGAATATTAAGCCTAAGCGAAAGCAGTATGGATATGATTTAGCAAGAGTTAATTATTAAAGTTCCATTTCAGTATACGGTTTTAACACTTTATATGCAAACTCTTATTTTACCAACAAGAACTCTAATAGCTTTCAACCAAATCAAGACCATGCCAGTTTTGCTTTTAGCAAGGAAGACGCACAAACCTCCACCCATCCTTCGCGAGGTAGCTGAAGAGTCCATCAACGACGCTTGCAAAAAACTGCCCTCCAGTGATGAACAGAGTGTTAATGGTGACTAATCTGCCTCTTAAGTGTGGAGGAGCAACTTCTGCGATGTACACTGGCACAGTCATAGATGCTACACCTACAAGAACAAATGAAATTACAGTTATGAAATCGAAAGAGACACTACACTCCTTTTACATCATAAAATATTGTAACATTTAAATGAAACAAGCTGGAAGAATTTTATTTCCAGGTTCTGAAAGTTAAAAAAAAAGAAAATACACCTAATGAACTCTAGAAGCATACCCATGGGCACACACACTGGTTGCTAGCGGCTGTATTGCAAGTTCAAGGTTTGATGTAACGACAGAAGGAATAACTCACTTCAATTCACATTGCACATATACGAAGACTAAATAAAAAGCATAAACATATTTATAGTTCTGAAATTAAGAGATGCTACGATCCAAGTAAGTACACGTAAGTCAAAGTGACTAACTGAAGATGTCAAGTGTTCACAGCTCTGAGTTTAAATAGAACTTTAGAATGGTTTCCACCTCCAAGAAAAATCAAGGCCAAGCATTGTTATTCTCATTATTATTATTATTATTATTATTATTATTATTATTATTATTATTATTATGATGCAATTTCATTATTGTTATATAGGATAGATTGTTTCTTGACTTTCTTGATTGTTTCTTGACTTGGTTTAAAAGTATTCCATATGCAGTGCTAAAAACTCCACTGCCATCAAGACGCAAGGACTGAAGCTAAAGCACAGCTGCCTTTTGTTCTTTCTTAACACTGGTAGTATTTCCTATGAATTATGCGCTGGCTCTAAATGAGCCATTTGTGCAAAAGACAGAAGTGCCCGTGTGTCCCACACACAGGAGCGCATACATACACACAAACTGTCACAACAGGAGTTCAGCATTGTACAAAGAGCAGAGCTGGGTAAGGAACATGCTTTAGCAGTCCAAACCCACCAACAAAGTCAGGCTCTCATTTAAAGGAAATTTATATCCCTATTCCCTTAAGAGAACCAACAGCAATAACCAACAGCAATTTATTTTGTCATTAAAACTGAAAGTATGTTGGTGACACACACACAAAACCACATTTTGACCGAAGCCAGCCGAGATACAACTTGAGCACAGTGAGCACAGCCCAGCAGCAGCAGAGACATCACATCTTCCAGCCCGGGGCAGCTCCGCTGAGTGCACACTGACAGCCCAATGCCAGCATGGGCCAGTGCCACACTCCCAGCAAGGAACAAGGTCCCTTAAAGGCGTGCGGGTGGCTCCTGAAGCACAGCCGTGGTTCCCAGCTCAGCTCATGGCAGAAAGATTTTGTCATAAAATGGTGGAGGCTCCGGCCGGCACCCCACTGCCTGACTGACTCACACACACAAAATCATCTTTAACAACAAGGTTAGCCTGACAGAACTGCTGGGAGCCTCCAAAACCTCGAGCAAGGAATATAGATTGTTTAATAATAAAATGGCATCAGAAGATCCTTTGTTACGACAGGGAAATGCTCTCAGCAGCCTCTCAGCGTGATAACGCAGTTGTCGGCAGAGCCTCCCAGGACGCGCCAATTCTGCCTCCTCCTATTGACGGAGAAGCCCACACGGAATTTAAAAAAAAACCCACCACATAAAAGTGTCAGGAAGAAAAAAAAAAAAAACACAAAAAACCCCCACATTAAAAATGTATTCAACCATTTCTCGAAGCCAACCAGAATGCACCATGGGAAAATGCATTCAAATAGCCCTTTGCGCATTTGAGAGAGAAGGAATTTTTCAAATGCAATCCACCATTAGGTACCCACCTCGGGCACACCACCTCACGTGCCCACGCTCCTTCTCCCACCCCAGCGTGGCCATCTTGCCATCTTCCCACTGCCAGGAGGGGCCTGCAGGACACCCAGCTCTGTGGGGCCAGGCCCAAGGCCCAGTGTCATGGTCTCTGCCTGCAACGGGAAGCAGTCTGAGGAAAGGCTCACCAGCTAAACAACCATCAAATAATTTCCCTGCTACACCCTAAACAAGCGTCTGATAACCACCAGCTTTGGGAATTTGTGACTTGATGGACCAGACACTTGGTATCTCTGGAGGGCTTTTTGAGGCCATTGTTCGCTCTCCACTACTCTATTTAGACCAATCATCCCTAAAAAACCACGGTAACTCAAGGTGTGTGTGTCAGAAGAGTCTGCTTGCCAGTGGCTATTTTATCATTTGTCCCATAAACACCTTCCCTGCTGTTTGCAAGAGTAACATAGAAATGAGAGAAGATGATTGAATGCAGAGCACCAGAAATGAAATGAGAGACCAAACCCTCCAACATGGAGCTGACAAGTATAGAAACAGAACAGGGTCGTGCAGTAAGTACAAGGAAGAAAAACAGGGTTGTGTTTCTGTCTTTCAGGGGACAAAAAGAGAAAACTGACCTTACATCTTTCTCTTGGAACCTACTGAAAGTCAATCCCTAGCATTCATCCTCCCTCATGCCCTGCAAACACAGATACCATTAAAAGGTTTAGAAAAAAACACATATAGTCCTAAGAAGGATATCTCTGAAACAGATAGAATCAGGGAATTGTCTAGGTTGGAAGGGATCTTTAGGATCATCAAGTCCAACCATCAACCTACCACTGCCAAAACCACCACTAAACCATGTCCCTAATAATCATGTAGTGAAGCTAATTTGAGAGGTAAAGATGGAAACATCCGTATGTGGATTTTACTGGAAAGCAGTGAGGAAGATGTACACAACCAAAACCAATATATGCTCTGTAAAAAAAGCTACTTCCCCCTCCCCTCCTCCATTCAACTCTTAATGAAAGCTGACTTTACACAGGATCTGCAGAGAATTCTTGTTCAAAAACAAGCCAGCCAAATCTGCTTCTCAGGCATCCAAAAAGCAGAGCCACACCATTGATCAGACCAACGGCTATTGCTAATGTTCAGCACACACTGTCAGCCCTGGGACGCTGCTAGAACCAGCGTTAGCCCCGGCTAACACAACGCTTGCCATTTACAGGTAAAAACTAAAGCCTTCTGCTGTAACATAAGGGTAGTGTGAAGGTCAAAACATGTTTATAAAGTGTCTTGAACAAGAGGCACCATGACAGCAGGAGGTTTACTGTTTCTGCTGTGTTCTTGCCACAAAGTTAATGACTATGGGAATAAGCAGAGGAAGGGGAAGCTTGCACACCTCAACAACCTAGTCTATGATATCAGCTATTCAGCTGGCATTAATACGATAGTTGAAATTATTTATTATCAAAACTGCAACGAACAGCATATGATCTCTTAGGAAAAACTAAGGAGTTAGTATATTGGTTCAAAATCATGAAGAATTATTTAGATTGACAGGGACATTTGGAGATCATCTAGTCCAACCCCTGTTCAAGCAGGGTCAGCTAGAGCAGGCTGCCCAGGACCATGCTCAGTTAGGTCCTGACCATCTCCACAGATGGGTCCCCAACCAAAATGATTCTGTGACTTCCACGCCAGCTTTCTCACTCCGAGACAACGTTGCTGTCAAAAACAGCCTTTTTGGCATTGTACTCAGACCTTACTTCCTCCACTGGGCTTCCCAAAACTTGCAGGTTCAAAACATCCAAACAAAAACCTCAGCTTGGAAGATAAATTTATGTTATGTATTTCCAGTTATCATTTAGATATCAAAACATATGCTTTGCTACTCTGAGCCTGAAACAGAGTGTGGCAGGAGGAGGTTTCAGGAAATGGAAGGAAGCAATTAGGAAAGCCTCCCCAGTTTGACTGGCTGCCCTCCAGAAAGCATTCACACAGAAACCGAAGTTCTTTCTAAAAAATTCACCAGAAGTAAAAAGGCTATTCTCAAACATATCAAATTAAGAAGAAAAATCATACCACTTTAAGAAAATAATGCTTTAGATTCTATAATATTATTTACATTACAGATTTGCTTTCAATTGCCTTAGAATGCATCAGTGTTCTCCAGATTCTCCTCCTCTAATTTCAATTTTAGACATATCAGAACACAGGAGAGTAAGTTCTTGTGAAAAGGCACAGTTAGATGCAAGGCATTAAATGTTAAACAATTATAAAAATCTCTAAAATACATAACCAGTATTCGTTATGTAGTTATTTTAATAGATAGGTATTAAAGAACTCTGAAAACAAAGAACAGCTTTCCTAGCAAAATAAATATGGCTGCAATGTAATCTTTGTTTAATCTTTCATATGAGAACGCTTCCATTTGCACTTAGATGACACATTCTAATATGCTCTCACTGTTAAACTGCTCACACCATATAAAAGATTTTTGCTGCAGGCAAGTATATTACTACCTAACTAATAAAGCCGATAAGCGACAAGATGTGAGGAAAAGAAAATGAAAACAATTAACTGGAAATCCGTCAGAGAAAGTTTAAGTTCTACATTGTAAACCACAGCTATGAAATCTGAGAAGAGAGAGCAGGCAAGCCCAATCTCTATCAACTTGAGTAACCAAGGCATTAACCTTCTGCCCTCATTAAAGAATATAGTTCAGAAAAAAATATAATAGAAGGTTCCTTAAATTTAGACCACAAGATGCCTCTAATTATTATACGGGAAGCATTAGATGACACGATGGACTTAAATCATCATATTAAATATTTTTTCACTTCCAAAATCACTTAGGAGACTAATTACTAGAGCTGCTACTATAATCTGCGGACTTACCATTGGAAAGCAGAGACAACAGAGCACACAACCCAATTTTAAGACAATCTACAGAAAGCAGGTATGAAAAAGCATCTTAGAATCATATTACCAACCAGAAAGGCATTTTCAGTATGAAGACATAACCATTATAAAGAATTCACTAAGAAGTTCAGTAATGAAGTCAACAAACCTACTGACAGGAGAGATAAAAAGGTCATGAAGGAAAATTCCTATGATAATTAGGAGAATTAAAAATATATTTTAAGAACTGAGATTAAGATAACAAAACAAAAGGACTAAAGAAGGAATCCAAGTTCTTGGGCATAAATACTAGGGAGATGGAATAATTTTAAAGACTTTTTGCAAGATCAGATGGCTATAAACATATCCTGTAAAGACCAGGACTTCCACTACAGCTCCAGTTGTGCATCCAGCAGACATGAGGGAAGGTGTGTCACAAAAACAGATGAGCAACAAAAGCTGGAGACAGGATATTGAATGAGATGCACTTTTACTCCTAGCATAATAAAAAAAGCTCCAAGGTAGTAGGAATGTAAGTGTCAATCATCTCACTGGCATCAACTAATAACCAGCAGCACGAGCAGCAAAAACGTTGGGAAGGATTCCTGACAATTTTTTATTGTTGCTGTTTAGATTACTACCCAAAAGGTTCATAAACATAAGAGACAGGTGACAAGAATTGGGTAACTTTAAAAAAAAAAACCTCACGCAACTGAATCAGCCTTTTATGCTTAGGAATAAAGAGGACTGCTGATTAACTAGAAGTGCTAAGGAGGCACATCCAGGAGCTGGTGTCTCTTTCCATCATGGTTCTGTCCCTCCTTCCCTCCAGAGCTTGTCCTGACCCTCTGCATCAACACCAGGTAAACCAGGGAATACAACCAGCTAAAAGGATACCCACCTGCCCGTTAAGGGGTTTGTACCACTTAGCTCCCTTAAACAGTTCACGATGAGCTCAAAAGCCCGTAGTGACCCACAGGCAGGACTACGTATGATAACAGAGACTGGCCCAACTGCCATGGGACTCCAGATTGCCCAGTTGGAAACTAAAATCAGGATGTGAAATAATCACAAAAAACAAAAAGCAAAGGTATCCCTGATCCTTTTTCAGAATACAGCAACTGAGCCAGTAATCTCTATTAACAACAAAGAATAGTCACAGCTCATTACAGAAATTTGTATTGTTAGGGGTTCCAAATGAAGACATAGAAACAGAAGTTACTAAAACATTTCCTTTCAGAACACTCATGGGAATGAGGCATTCTTCACTAACGTAGAAAGCTGTACTGAGACACTTAACCACCGTAATAGTTTTATTTTTTCATATATCTTAGAATGAACTGGTAAGAGGAAATTTTCATTAAAATGTTAAACTTTAATGCAACCAAATTTAAAGTTCACTTCATTAAGAAGCTGCCCATAGTGGTTTGTACTGCTTGTAAGGATTCCAAGCAGCTTTAGCAAGTGATACCACAGATGGAGGATTTGTGGAGGCAACCCGATGAAGAAGCAAGTATGTGGCAAAGAGAATCAGGAATTAAATATTAACAAACAGCCTAACAGAGATTGTTATGCTATGAGAAAGTCTAAATACAAATTTAAGGTTTGGTTGTTCTTTGCTTGTTGGTGGTTGTTTTTTTTTAATTAAATAGTAAATTCCAAAGCGGGGAGGGGGAAGCTTGCCAAGCTATATCTGAACACCAAGCTACTGTTTTCTTCCAGCAACTTTGCAGGAAATCTGATAAACTTCTTACATTTTGGATATTGGACATGCAATCTAAATTTAGTGCCTTGAAACACTATTGATCCCAGAAGTACATCAGATTATATGGACAAAGAGACTTTCATCAAGTATTTTCTTTCGGTTGTGTTCCCGCAAATTGTACTCTAAGGTTTTTACTTTATTTCTGACAAGAACAGCATTCTTGCCAACCAATAACTTTAGAACATTGCTCACATCCGAGTAGTAGTATTCAAGTATAAGGGCAACACACTGGTTAACTTTTTGAAAGAAGTGACAAGTTCCACAATAATTTTATTTATTTTTTTTTACTGTCAATCTAAAGAAGAATCCATTTAAGTAGTCTGTGGAGAGAAGAATGTCTATCCTCCACAAAATAGATACATTTTAACTGGCAAGGATATTGATTTTAAAAGACTATTAGCTT